TGCCCTTCGTTTTCAGGTCAGCGCATTACCCGGCGCGCCTCTGAAAAAATACCTGGGAAAGGACTGGTGGTTTAATCCAGCCGGCCCATGTAGTTACGTCTACCTAGGGCTCAAGCATTTTGCCAACATCTATGTGGCTACACTACGAAAAAACCTCATGCATATAACTCTCAGTAGGTAGATCAAGCATACATTTAGATAACCTATACCAGCGACTTCCGTTTTATTTATTTCTTGTGCAATTATGTGCATTAAATGGGTTATTGTCAGATCGGACAGATCCTCAATAAATCATACAATTGAACTTTCCTCTTTGGGTTAAGTCGTTCCTAAAAGTAAACGGTCTTCGAATAAATAAAATAATATACACTGGCAGTCGAACCACTTTCTCTAAAGTTAAGTTAGAAACCAAGGCGATCCGAAAATAAACATACCCCCTCTCTGCGGTCCTGCTGAACTGCTGTAGTAAACAACCATCTCTAAATAAACCCATAGTTGGACCCCTCCAAGTATAGCTACCTCATGATGAAGGGATTGCTTGGTGCACCTTGCCCCAGCGGTTTCGGGTGTAGGGTCAGGTGAGAAATCCATAATTTGGGTAGGTGGGACTTGACCACGAGTAACCACAGTGTCTAAGGCCAACTCTCTCCCACACACCACACACAACCCACTCACATACACACCCACATACACACTCACATACACACATCGGCCAAAAATCAGGAAGCCTTGTTCGCACTACTTTGATTTGTGGGAGCTGTGAGAAAAATTGGCAACCATACATACAAGTTGAAACAGAAACGCGCTGCAAGGTTCATCTAGAAGCCGCCGTTTGTGGGCAACCAGGAAGCCTTTATCTTTCTTTTTTTTCTTTTCTTTTTTTCTTTTTTTTTTTGAACAAATGCTCCAGTCTATTCGTGGGGAGCAGCACGTGCTGGGAACCGGGCCCAGCGTCCCATATCGAATTATACAGATGATTGAGAAAATTTGAGGTCTTTTGAGGACATTTGAGATACCAGGGCCATTACCTGGCTTCAACTGAGAACAAACTGTGAAACAGAGTCCTACAGATGCTCACTACTCTCAGGTTCCCTGACAAACCCTTCTAAGACTTCCCAACACCGTCTTACTCCTCCCTGCTGAGTTCTTCCTTTATCTCAAAGGCGGCATGAGAGATGCTATGCCTACCTAAAAAAAACAGAGGCTTGGGAATGATGGGCCCGAACAAACAAAAAATGAGGCAATGCTGATAAAATGGATTGTGCGCACCTGTGTGGAGGACCCTGTCATGCAGTGGGTACATCTGGCAGCGTCTCCACTGACCAGCGAATGAAACCTATCAAGAGTTGAAAATGTATGGACATGCCTATTCCTATACTCGTACGAGCGCAAGTTAGTCGAGTCTCCCCTCAGGGCAGCAATTATTAAGGCATGGAGAAAGTTATGCCCGAATGTTTGGACACCCCCAACGACAACTTCAAAGGTAGAAGTGTTTGCCCAACCGATCTTCGAGAATCCAAGGGTTAGAACAAGGAACGGGTCCTGGTTCAAGGCAGACTCCCAAGCTTAAGAGCTTCGGTAGGGCGTGGATAGAGAAAGGCGTGCTAAGACTCGGGGATATCTGGGATGGCTTCACAAAAGACTGGATAGCAGAAGAGGAATTTAAAGAAAACCTAGGGCTACTATGAGATGTGGAGGGGAAGTTAGCTGCAGTGATAGAACCCATACCAGACGAATGGAAAGCGATACCATCGCCAAAAAGCAATAGGCCCACCGGGCACGTGGTATATCCAACACGAAGAAGAAACTTGCAACCTCTAGAAGCTTAAACCGCAAGTACACGGCCCCAGCCTTGCAGAAAGTTTTTGTCGCCACAAGCAAAATTCGGAGGGGCAGCGTGGCGTGGGGCGCCATTGGAAAAAAAAAATCGGCGGCCTCCGAAGTGGTGCGGGTTTCATGCTGACACCCGGGGGCCGATGTGTGGTGTACCGGTGCTTTAAGCTGATACAAGCAAATGGGAAGCGAGTGTTCCATAAGTGGGACAACTCCACTTCACGTCAACTGACGTTCATGGAAATGGACACTCAACCGAGGCTGGGCTCGACATTGTCGCATGTACGAGTTGTACCTAGGGGAAGGAGGGAAGGAAACAAGCTATGGCGTTGGTTGCAAATGGGAAAACCACTCTCAGAATTGAAACTAGATCCGAAGCTATGGGAATGGAGTGCGCCGGGGGAGGGAAGGAGAAAACGTCTGCCTGTTTCATTAGACTAAGATAATTGGCTGTAAAAGCATCATCCCAACAAAGCATCCAGAGGTCGCTGCAAGAGCAAGGTGGGCTCAATTGCTGCCGATGGATTTGGCATAGATTCGCAAGGCTCTAAAAAAATGCTGGGAGCAAACGAAATTGATTCCGTGCCAGCGACTAACTTCCAACTTGTGGCTAGTCTCGCTGGTGGCGACTCCGTCTGCAGTATGGTTGGTGGAGCATGGGATGAAGTTGGACTCAAAGTGTGTGAGGTGCGAATGGGAATTTGAATCCGCACTCGACCTCTGATGGGACTGCCCCTGGGAATGGTGGAAAAAATTCTGGGAAAGTTGTACGGGCAAGATGAAGGTTGAACCCTCCCAGAACTACGTACGACGTACGTCGCATTGCGCATAGATATACCCACGTCCGAGGTCAACTCCATGCCTAATCTATGTACGCTATATTGAGCATAGATATACCCAAGCCTATCACTCCCTGCAGGCTTTGTAATCCTCAAGCTTACCAGCGTTCCCATGACACAGCTTCGAGGAGTATCCTTATCAGCGACGAACGGCTGGAGAGAGATAGCGGACACTGTGACTGGCCGCAGACACTCAAAACTCCGCCGCCAAAAGTGCGGAATTTATTGTGGAGCTCCTTACTCTTAGATGCTGCAGCTTGGATTCCTATCCGACGCTTACCGTAGCCACTGAGTATATGTATGCTCGTCTCCAATAATTTCCTCGTCACCTCTTGTCTTGGTTACTTCCGTGTGCACAGGTAGATGTGCAGAAACCCGCGTGCACGCAGGCCGGGAGGACAAGACGCACGAACGCGCGTACCGTAGCCACTGAGTACATGCTTGCTCGTCTCCAATAATTTCCTCGTCACCTCTTGCCTTGGTTACTTCCGTGTGCACAGGTCGATGTGCAGAAACCCGCGTAGAAGGAGGACGGGAGCACAAGGCGCACGAACGTGCGAGGCCCAAGGGAGGTGGGTTGATGCACAAGGCACGTACGTGGGTGGATGTACAAGGCACGCGGGTGGATGCACAGAGCACGCAGGTGGATGCGTGTGGGTCCCACCCTTTTATGGAATTCATCTGGCTAATCCGCTTGGCTAAGTGCTTAGTGGCTATGTTCAGCCCCCCTACACTAGCAGAGATGTCGAGAATGCTTCACGCAAAATCAGATTCACATTCACATCTACAAGACTCGAAATCACTTCGAGGAATTGCTAGCCTCGGCGCAATTTCCTAAATTAAAAAAAAAACGAAAGGAAAAAGAAAAACTGACTGTAGATTGTTTTTTCGTGGGAATGCGGTCGGGCCTGAGCCGCCTGACAGCTATGGTTCATACAAAGCCGAAACTGCGGCAAGAAAATACTAACTCCCCTGGTCAAACGGGTAATCATAATGAAAAAAAGGAGCGAGATTGTGCGATTTCTCAGTAATCATATCCATTGTGGCCCTTTTGGGTTTTCTGGTACCATATTTTGGCCTGCCTCCACATTGACTACTATAGGAATTCCTTGCAACTTATCATCAAGCATTTTTACTATTTTACAAGGAATTCAACTTGATGATAAAATAGTGAAAATGGCCACTTGGCAGCTACATCAAGTATTTTACTTCTCGAATACAACTGCAAATTAAAATTACCCAGGCAAGCCTTTGACACTGCATCCTGCAACCATAAGAATAGAATGGCCTTCTCCCGCCAGGCGGGAATGCATAAAACATCGTTGCATTCGAGTGCGTGTGTGTGTGTGTGTGTGTGTTTTGGGGGGGGGCGAGAGAGAGAGAGAGAGAGAGAGAGAGAGAGAGAGAGAGAGAGAGAGAGAGAGAGAGAGAGAGAGGAGGGCAATGTCGCTCTGCAATGGTTTCTTGGAGAATTTGCGGTGTAACTTAGAACCGTGACCATGAATTCGGATGAATTATCGTTGACAACTTGTTAAGGAATAATAACAAATAGAGAGAGTCATGAGTCATGACATAGCCAGCCCATGGGGCTGAATGGTACACACCTCCAACTATTAACCAACAGGGACTGAATGGTACCACACATCCAACTATGAATGAACAGGCCATGGGTTCATGGGTTCAAGTCCCCATGGCATCCAGGTGGTCATAATAAGGTTGGGGGCTATTACCTGTTTTAGTATTTTCCTTTTTTTCCAACATGACAAGTGTAGAATATCGGCATCGGCATGTGATTGCCGTGACAACTTGACAAGTGGCCAATACTGACACGTCAGCGGAGAGGACATGAAGCTGCAGTCCAGTTGCAGTTGTCGTCAGTTGGCGCGGCAGAATGTTTACTGTGAGATCATGCAAGTCAAAAAATGATCGCGTCGTACCAGTACCTTTGTCGGTTCGAAAATACTCGGCCTCCGACCTTTCAGGAGGCCGAAACGAAACGAAACGACGGCTGCCGATCAGATCGATCAACGTCGGGCTCGGCCTACTGAAAGTTGGGGCACTGGCCAGGACTTGTCGAAACCGGACGCCAAAGGTACTAGTGGTTAAAACCAAAAAAGAAAAAAAAAAAGGGGGCCGACGACCTTGACATATCATCATCGACCTGACCGGCCCCACGTAATTCAGATGTTATCATATTAATCATATTAATCATATCAAATTATTATCATATTATATTTGATTTCATTCATCTGGGTTCGAACTAAGGTCTGTGTTTCAACAGTTCGCCGAAAAGGTATGCCAACTCTTCCATATAGGCCCCTTGGTTGACATACTGCAGTGCTTTTACTGGTGGAGAAAGCTTTCAAGGCTTTGCACAAGAATATGTAAGAACCTTCCAAGTTTTAAGAAAGCATCTATGCGGACATTTGGGTCAAATGCATCAACTTCTTTTTTTGTTTTTTCTTTTTTCCCCCCCCCTTTCTATTTAGGTCCCTCAATGCCATCCTCGCGTCCTCAATCTTGCAGTTCCAGTGCAAACGGACAAGCCGGCGGGAAAAAAAAGAAGAAGAGGAGAAACAAGAAACATCTCACCGTTCATGAAACACTGTGTGAAAACGAGCAACACATTCAACGCATATGCTTCAAGCATTCGCTCGCTCGACTTGCAACCTCACTGCAAGCAGACCGAGGAGAGCTATTCTAACACTAAATCCTACAAAATATTATTCCATCTCACAGAACTCTGTCCTACAAACTCCCTCCCTCCCTCCCTCCCTCCCTCCCTCTCTCTCTCTCTCTCTCTCTCTCTCTCTCTCTCTCTCTCTCTCTCTCTAAACAAGGATAAAAGGCATGTACATTTTGGATGTGTTACTTGTACCAATCAAGGAATAAGATTGTAAAAATTAGAACCATAAAAAACAGAAGAAGAAACACCCTACTTGTACTATTTCTGGAGATCGTTTTCACAATCTCCTTATTACCCATATCAACGTTGTGGGTAGCCTCCACGGCCTGCGGCAGACAAGAGCAAAGACGGCACAAGCAATGGTGAGTATGGAATGACGGCATCAGAAAAACCTCAGATTACAATAGACAGACTTAGTAATTCCCTACCTCATGCTTTTTTTTTTTTTTTTTGCAGGGGCCATGCTAATTTTCACTGTATCGTTCCAATTTTAACGGATGTCCCTACCTCATGTCCACTTTTTGATAATCTCTCCCTTCACTTTTTTTAATCATCTTTCAACTTGGAACGACATCAGAAAAACTCAGATTACAACCAAAGAGAGTGAGTGTGAAGCTCCATCCCATATACTGACATTGAGCACGGAGCTTGAGCGCAGTCGTAGAGCCACAGTATATAGCTGAGTCCCAAAGTTTGGAGAAGAGACTGGTCTGCAACTTAGCCTAAAGCTGAGCCTGCGACTGAGACTGAGTTTAAACTCAATCTCAAGCTTAGAAGATGAGTGAGCCGACTCTCTCCAAAATTTCGAGAAACTCAGTCTCAGACTGAGTTCGAACTCAGCCCCCACGAGTCAGAGAGCACCGCTGACTCACTGAGTCTCCAAAAGTTTGTTTTCAACTATCGGTGCGCACTCCAAACACATTTTGTATCGAATTGACAATTGGGTCCAAGTTACAAATGTGTTTGGCCAAACAATAAGGCCCATTCAATTGCTGAATTGTCTATTCAGTGTTCACACCGAGAATCCAATCTTTCCGTATCGAACATAATAGACCGAACAACCTTACATAATAGAGGTGCGAAGCACAGGGTCGAAAGAGAGCTTGTGGAGTTCTGGGGGAGTATGCACTTTGCCCTTGCGAGTCACTCAGCCTCTAGGTTGCGCATGCACAAGCACACGTATGATCAACCTTTTTTTTTTTTTCCTTTTTTTTTTTCCTTTTTTTTTTTTT